TTTTTTTTTTTTTTTTTTTTTTTTTTTTTGTACCAGGGACTGAACTTGGGTCCTTGCGCTTGTGAGGCAGGCCACTGAACCGCGCTGAGCTAAATCCCCGGCCCAATTGTAGGATATTCTTAACAATAAATACCGTTAGTTTTTCGTGAAGCAACCATCTCCATTCTTTTTTTGAGAAAATACTATTCAAGTGTGAGTAATGGTAGTTTGTCAGTTTTTCTTTCAAGTAAAATTAGTATTCCATGAAGATAATGACTAGTGTGCTTCATAACGCAAATCATTGTACAAGTGTTTGCCTTGAGATACCTATCATATATTTGTATGCAACAGAAGTGCTTTACAGGAACTTCCAATTTTCTTACCCAGAAAATGAAAAAGATATGCACTCAAGGGTTGAGATGCAATAAAAATAACTTTGCTGGATTATCAAAGACATTCTTAAGCAAAACTGGCATTGCATATTTTTAAAAGGATGTTTTTATAATGATTGCCTGGCAGAGAAAAATACAGTGACAACCAAGACATTTTGGTGCTGCAGTGAACTAATTGCATAGGCAGGAGAGACTCCAGTAAGGGTATGGTGCTCAAGCAGTTCCTTAATGTTCCCTGCCGCTGATAGGTACTATGAAACTACACTAATGCAGAATTCTTAGGTTTAGATTTTTATATGCCCTAAATATTGATGTGAATATTTGTACTGGCACTTGTACAAGTTGGGTTTTTTATTTTTGTTTTTGTTTTTGTTTTTGTTAAGGGATAGGTACATTGTTATTCAGTCTGTTTTGTGTTTTGAAGTTATTTTGAAATCTTTTTGTATATTTCATAGAAGTGTAGACTTCTGCATTTCTGTTACAGATCAAGAACTTTTCATCAAACTATAGGATCCTGGTGTCTTAGGATAGACAAGGGTATTAGAATTCATCCAAATTAATGCTCCCTTTTTAGGGAAGAGGTCTTAAGGGCATATTAAATGCCAAATTCAGGTTAGTGGTTATCTTCTAGAGACTGAGTTAGGGGTGGAATTAGACCATAATTTGAAGATCTCAGCTATATGTTATGTATTTGTTCTAAAAGAAAAAGAAATTAGAGACAAATATGGCAAAAATGTTAACATTTGAAAAAGGAAAATAGATATTCAGATGATCATTGTTTTATATATTTTTGTGCTTGAGTAATGTGTAATAAAAATTAACATATGTGCTGCTGAGGTGAGCACCACAATAAAAAATTAAAACCTAAAAAATATTTAAGTAATTATTACTATATATAGGAGAGATATGATGCTCCCAAAAAGCCAGTATGGGTGGAATAAATAAATATCCAAAGATATTTTGTGGGAAGATATTTTTGGCATGAACTTGATTTCAGTAGATTAAAGTCCTGCCTTGCCTGTTAAGACCTACTTGATCCCCATAGTCTATTGACTCTATACCTATATCTTTTGAACACATCTTCTTTTCTCCTTTACTCCCTACCCTCTGCTATACACACCCTTTTCTTCACTGTAATGGTAACAGTCCTCAGCTCTCTCCTGGACTTGCGTTTCTTTACAGAATGATTATTTTGCTGTTATTTCCCTATAGCAATTCAATATCTGTGTTTTAACAGTTATGTGCTTTTTTGGTTTTGTTTTATTTTGTATTTTAAAAGGTTTCAACCTTTCCCTATATAAAGTAGCATCATGTCAACTTTTAAAAATCTTAATAAACACTCCAGTACATCCTTCCACCGAGACCCTCCTTTACAGGTTGCTACTTTGGAATTCTTTGGCTCCTTTGGTTGCTTTCCTTCATTTTCCTAAAAATTATGCTACCTGTGTTTTGAATTTTATTACCAGGTATTATCTGTTGACTTAGCACTATAAAATATAAGGATTTACTGTAATCTCTGGGCCCCATGCTACATGTGCAAACTTTACCTTTCCTTATCCTCGCAATATACAATTAGCAATTTTGCATCCAATCAGAATTCACTGTTTCTATTTATTATGAGCATAGAACAGTTATTCACAGCTAAGGATCTAAAATGCAGTGATTACATTTATTTTCTCACACTGGCTCAATAGTAGCCTCTCTCCTTTTTCACTTACATGCTTTTCTATTCATCTATTATTTGTAAGCTTTCTGCCACAACTCTTAACATTTTTCTCAATGCCTTTTTTTTTTTTTTTTGTAACTTCTCCTCAGCATACTTTTTTCCGGCGGCATAGGGAATACAGTTTGCAGATCTGTTTTGTAGAATGTGATGCTTTTACTTGAAGAGGAATCCTTTGGTCTTGTGCCTGGGCATTGCATGCCAGGATTCAGGGAACTGAGTGGGGAAGAGAGCTGGAATCTTAAGGCTTCGTGTGCAGATTTTTGAACTTTGTTTCATTTCCTTGTTTTCAGAACAGTGTTTTCTTGCTATACCAGATGTCTTTGAGCCAGAGGCTAAACTCTCTTTTACTGGAATTGGGAAGTAGAACTGGGAAGATCTCTTTCTTATATAACATTTAAAATTTTTTCTTGTAGAAGGCAAACACATAGAAAAGGGACAAATAGGCATGTACTGTTTTGTAGATTTCTATCAAGTGCACACACATCATGTCATTTGATCAGTATCTGCATTCAAAAACAGTATTACCAGCACAACAGAAGCCCTCCTATGCCCCAGTTGTTTCTCCAAAGATGATCACTGTCCTTGTTTCTGATTATGTAAATTAATTTTGGCCATTTTGTTACTTGATATAAATGGTTTACATGTATGCTCTCATGGTCACCTTTTTTATGTGTATTTTTCCTTAAAAAGAAAAACAGAGCACTCCAAGTGACATATTATCAGCATGTATTTTATAGTATAGTATGTGATATACAGCTATGACTTTGATATAAAATGGAGGGCTTTTAAGGTTTATATTGCAATAAAGGTTTCTTCTTTATTTTGCTTTACGCATGGGGAGGTAGACAGCCAATTTTGTATGTGAAGTCTGAGGATGGGGTGAAGCTGCTGCTGTGTTATCCTTCAGAGGAAAAAAAACTTTACAGTGTTCTTCTTTTTTTTTTTAACTGCACAATACTACGAGATGCTTGTCTTTCATCCCCATTGTCCAAGAAGGATTTTATTGACACATTCAAAGTAATAAGCATATAATAAGCCTCATCTTCACATATTCATAATACATATGTTTTATGCCAGGAATTTAAATTATACTTTTTTAAAAGTCATTTATATTTGAGAAATCATTAATATACTTTTTAATGTTCAAACAGTATGATTTGGAGACATGCCATATGTTTAATTGCTTATTTTTATTTGCATGAGGAATTTATGCTAACCAATCTCTAGTGTGTGTTTCATAGGAAACATGTTAGAAAAGTATCAAAGGGTAATTTTTTTTTATGTTTTTACCCAAGTGCAATACAGTTATAAAAGGTGGGAGGAGTAAGCACATATCCCCTTAGTTTTTTTAATCTAACTGTAAATTTTCACATTACACAAATGAGCTATTTTTATGGAACATTTAAATTGGTATTTGCACCAGCATTCTAAATCTGGAAAGGTGGTATGCTGAAGTACACATGCAGATCAACAGTTTCAAGATGGAAAACATTGTTCTTGGGAGTACTACTTTTTTTTTTTTTAATGTCATGGGAATTCTTCAAATTACTGTTAA